AATGTCGCTTCTTGTCAAAACCAGTCACAGGGCCAGTCCAAATTCAAAGGGAGGGAAAATAAGCTCTACCTTTTGATGGGACGAGGGACAGGTGCATATAGGGAAGGAAAGTATTGTTTGGGGCCATCTTTGGAAACTAGCTACCACAATAGAGTAATATGATTGGCTCAGCCTGGGTAAGTGCCCCCTAGGGGGCAGTCAACAGGTCTGTCCACACTATCTAGCATATCTGCCTCTCTTGCAAGGCCGGCCCCAATTCCTGTTCGCTTGCTCTCTCTGTGGTCCCAGCAGTGAGAACAGCTCCTTGAACATGGTAAATGTCTAATGAACTGTTGTTGAATTCCTTCTTTTGAATCTTCTTGTTTGTGTAACTGCACCAGTCAAATGCTTTCCATTCTGCCTTGGCAGGGTCTCTTGTGTCTATCCTGTTTCCTCCTTCCTCTCCTTGCTCTGGATTAAGACCAAAATAACCCTTGTTAACAGTCTCCTAATGGTCTCTCAAATACCTGCCCTTTCCCCTAACTCTCCCCCTAAAGCACAGCTTCAGTCCTGTCTCACTCTGCTGCCTACTAGAGAAAGCCCAGCCTGATGTTAGTGCCCCCCACCCCACTGGCACATCCTGCCTTCCAGCCCAGCCTCATCTCCCACTGCTCCTCTGTGTAGAAGCCAAGCACGGGCTCCCTGATGAGTCAGCTTGGGCTCCCATGAAGCCACACAGTGCTTTCCTTTCCTCAGGCCTTTGTTCAGGTCCTCCTCTCCCTCTAGAATATCCTTTCCCCTGTCAAATATGACAAAAGGCCTAGCGCAGACACCACTTCTTCCAGGAAGCCCTCCCTACTCTATTCATCTCATCCCCTTCCTTCCACCAGACCTATCTCTCTCTTGAACACTCTGGTTCTGTTTCTGAGTTTATTCCTGCCTTCTGGCACTTTTCATAGTCGGCCTTGTACATTGGTTATTTCTCTGCATGTCCTATCACCTTTGCCAAGTTGCAAACTCTGATATTCCTTCATGGTACCAATCCTTTGTACTCAGAAGCCTTCAATGATATTTGTTAAAAGAATGAATGAATAAATGAATGAATGTGGTATCATCCATGCAGAGGTCAAAGATGAAGTCATCTGCAAAATGAAGCTGATAAAATTTTAGCTAAAGTTCTTTTCTGCTCTAAAATTTGGTTACATCTGTGAATGAGCTCTCCCAATGAAAAGGAGAGAGAGCGAGACTAGGTAAGGTCTACATATGAAGCCTTGAAAAACAGTCTAGAAGGAGGAAAATGAGCAGAGAGACAGGAGGAAAGCCAGAAAATGGTAATATCCAAGGAGGAAAAGTTCAAGAAAAAAGATCCGTTAACGTACCTGAACTATAGAGAGACCCAGGAAAAAAAAGATGAAGCATGGCCACTGGGATTTCACAAGAGGAAGAATGTTTATGAGCTGCTTGAGAGAAGTTTCCAGGGAGTTGTGTGGGAAAAAGCCAGACTCCAGGGGGTTAGGAGGGACTGGCCCTTGAGGAAGTGAAGGCACTTTGAGAGGATAGCCATTTCCACATTGGCACTGTGTTGGCCCTTTGAGAATATTAATATGTGATAAACTGGTGACACTATGGACATTTCACCATAGAGGCATATAGACTTGGCACAAAGGGGTGTGAAATACAACAGATCAGAGGCAAGTGAACAAATAATCCCTCAGGATTAGATTGAGCTACCTCCCAGGGCAGAAACCCCAGGAGAAAGCTCACTCTTCTCTCCCAGATGGCTGCTCTGTTCCTTACATCCTTTTGCACAACCCCCAGATGAGCTCAGGAGACTGATGTGCTGTTGAGGCAATGTCCCTTATCACCACATATTTGTACAAACTTCTGGTTGTTACTAGTATTCCAGGGATGTGACAAGCTGGGCTCCTGCCTAACTATGTTTATAGGTCACATAATGGTACCTTGTCGTGATGCTGTGGGCAGGGGCAAGAATGACAACCAGCTAATGGTAGAACGTGTTGTAGCATGTGGGGTTGACCAGACAAGCTCTGAAGTTATGTTGATAGCTAGGTTCTATCCAGGTTGTGCCTCCTACTAGCTGTTTGTTACCCTCCAGGCTGTTAATCTTTTAAAATTTCAATGTATCATCTGTAAAATGGGCTAATAATTCCTCCCTCATAGAACTGCTGTGCAGATAATAGGAGATGATCCCATAAAGCATGTATCTGCACATTTCCCAACACTAGTGAATAGCCAATAAATATTAACCACGATAATAAGAAACACTCACTTTTGCAATATAAGAAAGTGTGTAGTAGGTTGGATTCCGTGGTAAAGAGAAGTTCTTCGGAATGAGTGTCACAATCTCTTCAAATCCAGTCATCCTAGAACAGGAAGAGCCAACGTTCTATTTACTTAAGAACCAAACTGTTCACAGGGACAACAGCTTTTTAAAAATTTCCCTTAAACATTAGGACATGAAGGAGATAAAAATTGAGCTTGCTCCCAGAGATTCTTGCTTCATCATTTTATTTATCCCATAACTACCCCACATGTGTTGTAAGTTCAAGTCTGTTTGGAAGCAGCAGCCACAGCACCAAGATCAAAAAAAAAGGCAGAGTCGACTTATTCTGATAAAGACACTGTTCCTTTGAGATGTTCCCAGAGCTTTCAACCGTGACCTCCCTTTCCGGTTTTACCAGCTTTTCCTTCCAGGTCTCCTTCAGAGGGAGCTTCCCTCTCACTAAATAGCTATATGCAAACCAACGCCATCATCATTTTAAGTGAAATTTTGAAGGGTTTTAAACAGAAATGAAACAGGCACACACTTTTAAAGTTTGGGTCATAATTTCTTCCACCAGAGGGCGACATTTGCTAAAATAAATAAAAAGGATTACTGGCCACAGGGATTAACACCGGACATTAGGAGTGAGCTGGAGCCCAGGATCTTGGCTGCCCTTAATCACCTGCGGAAACTGGAAAACAGTCTCTGGGCTCCACCCCTGGAGATTCTGAATCAGCACGGGAAGAGGGCACAAAGAGGTTGTGGAAATCTGTTTTTTAAAATCTCTCCAAGTTTGGGAACTACTGGTTTAAAGAGAAGTGAAAATAAGATTTGTTAACTTTCCTCCACCTCGCCCTCCAGACATGTTCAGGCTCTGCTGCTGTCTTTGCTAAATCTGATGTTTTGTTTTGTTTTTTTTACCTTGGTGGAAAAAGAGGGCTTATCTTTACACAAAAGACCATGACCTTTGCCTTGTTAGTGGATGCTATTTAATGCATATTTAATGCAATTTCTGACCTAATGCAAGGTCATTTACTGCCCATTTTCAGATCTTTTATATGGGCAGATTCTCTTCAAAGGCACCCTACAAAATACTTCCATTTCTGTGTGTATTTATCAGTGGTGCCAACTTTTACTTTATCATAAGCAAAAAGCTGTGTAAAATAGTACTTGACTGTGGAGCAAGATTATGGGAAATGCTGCCATAAATAAAACCAGAGCTTATCAGTATGAGTTTCCAGTCAAGTGGGGAAGTGCATAAAACATGTGAACTGATTATAGGTAAGAACAACCTAACCGGTGCATAAGAAATCCTGAGAACATATAAACAGTGCAGTTAAGGCCTGGGGATTTGGTCCATCTGAGTACAAGATCAATATATCTGCCTGGCCTAGGATCCTTGGAACAGATTTTTTTTCTTTGTTGGATCTTTAAAACTGATTTATGAGTCAAATTGAGGTAAGCATTCCCCTTTGTGTTTCATCTGCTGTGTTTACAGGGTCACAGTGACATTTTGAATTGTCAAAGGGCTGCCAGAGTTCCAGCACAGAAAGTTCCCCTCCTAGACTTACTCTGATAAAAAGCACCAGAGAAGGGATGTGAAAGTGGCATTTTCCAGTCAAGCTTCTCTTTTAACTCAAACATGCGGTTTCACAGATCCTGTTGTGAGTTTGCAAGCTGGACAGGTAATCATTAAAGAGCTCCTCCCAGTTTCTGTGCTGTCGGCTCCTCCCTGACACCTGGCCTCACTGCTCAGGAGTCATGGAGCCTGTTTCCACACATCTTGCCACCAATCCCAAACCTCTCTGTTTGCATTTAGACACACAGATAACATTTTTCAAAATGTGTCTACCACTTTCACAGTTGCTGAGATTCGTCCCACTCTTAAACTGGTGTGTTGGATTCTCCAATGCAAACTGGTGTGTTGGATTCTCCAGCATTGGTAGGGATTAGTCCCTTGACTATGCTCCAGGCATTGGGAGCTGGGAATGGGGAACTCTGCTTCCGGGATTTTGGCTTACTATGAGCATTTCTGTCTATTAGAGTCGGATAGGATAGATCCACAGTGCACACAGAGCAGACATTTGGTCCATCCCCAACTACTACTTTGCTGTTTTCTCTTGCATTGCTTATTCCTTTCCCCCAAACCCTGAAAAATCTTGGGCTGTCCTATGAGAAAGTCAGGAAAAAGGAGAAAAGTTGCTAGCCCCTTTTTCTTTTTCTCCTAGGATATGTAAATGTTGTGCTCTGAATCTTAGTTTATCTTGTTACAAACAATATGCTCTCTCTCCCTACTTCCATCTAAGTGGGGGACAGCATGGGACCCAGTGGGGAAACAGCTGCCAGGCTCTTTAATTCAGGTTAATAGCCCATAACCTTCAAATAGACCTTGAATGAGTCTTCAACACACCCACTCCCTCCGATGAGTTGTGACACATGTCAAGCTTCACGAGGTCACATCTGCAAATGCCACATAAACACACGACACAAGCAGCCGAAATGGTTTCCTTCTTTGCTTATAATTTTTAGCGAATTACTTGGCCACGTTTATTCCAAAGGGAACCGATGGCTGTTGGACACGATTTGAGGGGAGTTCCTGAGGGCAAAGAGAAGAAAGGGGGCCTTTGCACTAGCTGAGGCGCAGCTGGAGGACCCCAGGGCTGTGAACGCGCAGGGCAGAAACGCCGCGTTTGCTGGAATCCCAGCCAGCTGCTGACTCGCGCTCCGGAGGTCCCCGATGATTCCCCCACGGTGGGAAGACGGAGCGGGGACTCTGGACACCCGGTACGCCGGTCTCCTAGCCTTTCCCGGATCAAGTCTGACGCAGCGGGTCCCTCGGCGGGGTTAGTGGGACTGCCTAGGGGAGTGGGTGCGCCCGCGTGGGAGGGTTGCCGGCCTCCCTCAGCCCTCGGACAAGCTCCTTGCCGCGACCGCTCAGTGCCCTTAGCCGCCGGACGCCGAGGCCTGGTCCGTCTCTCCAGCAGCGCCCGCCGCGGAGCCCGGGTCCAGCGGGAGGTCAGCGCCGACCTCGGCCCCGCCCTGGTCCCG